GCCCCAAAACTTACTGCCTCATGCTGTGCCTATAGGAAGCAGCCTGCTAACTCCCAGTTCTAACAGGCATCTAGTAGCTGCATCCAAGAGCCCCTGCACTGGGTCAATGTCCTTGACAGCAGCCTGGCTCCCCCTTTGGTTGCACACTCCAAGGCAGAGTCCCAGACTGCTAGGACTCTTTCTTCAAGCACATGGAGAGAGCCCCAAAACTTACTGCCTCATGCTGTGCCTATAGGAAGCAGCCTGCTAACTCCCAGTTCTAACAGGCATCTAGTAGCTGCATCCAAGAGCCCCTGCACTGGGTCAATGTCCTTGACAGCAGCCTGGCTCCCCCTTTGGTTGCACACTCCAAGGCAGAGTCCCAGACTGCTAGGACTCTTTCTTCAAGCACATGGAGAGAGCCGTCCTCTCTCCCACAAGAATCCTTCTGTCCTGTTTTTTTCCCAAGGGCTCATGGGAATTGTAGTCTGGATTGTAGCACACAGGGTCTTTTTAGAATAAAACAGAGGCCCCTTTAGTAAGGGGTCTACATATGTAAGGATTTTAAACATACAGGGTCAATCTACACTTGCAACTGGTTCCTTGGTTGGTCCACAGTCCCGGCTGGGCCCTTTTTCTCCTAGGCTGTCTTCACCCCTTCCCCTGTGTTTCCATGTGAGCTGGGCTTTGGGGTGGGCTAGTGGGGAGAACTGAAGGTAATGTAAATACAAAAATCTGAAATCCAGACAAGGGAGAAGTAAGATACAGATGAGCCAGTGGGTGGGGGCTAAGCTGTGAGAGGGGGTCAGGGTTCTGTTGTGGACATAGGGTGCATTGGGTGGCCATGGCTGTGGAAGCCTGGCTCATGCAGAGGCAGGAGTTCCAGCAGGAGGTGGATCGTGGTGGAGATGAGACAGACACACCAATCTCCTCTCAGACATTCCTGGGACAGCCAAGTAATAACCATGTCAAAGTCTTGGGAGATGGAACACAGGCCCTTTCACATTGGAAACTTTTCAGAGCATGGCCTTCCTCCCCATTGCTCTGATTCAAAATACACAGGAGCAAGAAGAAAGGGATTTTCATGGAAAGGAAATACGAAAACAGCCCCGCCCCATGTGTGCTAATGACAATATTCACATCACAACCAGTTGCGTTTATTGAAAGAACAAGAAGGCTTAATAGAGGATACAAAGCTCCCTTGTGAATTTTCTCCAAAGTTTTTAGAACCAAAGTGTTGTCTCCCAGATTCCCAGAGATGCTCCTTTGACAATCTCTGCTGCCACCATTCCCTCGGGCCCTCTGTTTATATCTTTATAAGAAAAAGAATAGTATGATAATGAATTAGAGATCAAAGAGCATGACAGGAATTTTCCCATAATTGAAAAGTGAATCCAGATATTCCTGGTTAGCTCCTGAGCAGGGTACTCGTTGTCCCTATGACATGTTCTGGCCACATAGTTTTAATAGAGATGCATGTATACATGCAAGAATTCACGGAGCATAAATGAATGGTTGCAGAGAACTGGGGAAGGATCATCATAGTACTTGTTGCTCTAATGGCGACCTGAGAGGACCCAGAGAATAGTAGACCAGTCAGACTAACCGCAATACTTGCAAGGTTCTAAAACAAATAATTAATCCATTTTTAAGCACGTAGAGCAGTGTTTCTCAACCAGTGGTACGAGTACCCTAAGGGATACTCTAGAAAAATCTGGGGGGTACATGAACACAATTGAAATTTGAAGAAAACTGAATTTTTGTTTAAAGTTTTACAATGCTTTATTATATTTGTACTTTTTACACCCAGAAATGTAATTGCCTGCCTGGCTACAATTAAGTTGTTTAAACAAATCTGTTGCAATGATAGAAAACATTTTTGTGTTCCTTAAAAACCGTAGGTACTGGGAGTACTTATAATTTTTTTAAAAGGGTACTTTATAAAAAAAGGTTGGGAATCATTGATCTAGAAGATATTAGTCATCAGGCACTTCTCTAGAATTAATCAAACCAAAGTTACCCATTTTCCTTCTTTGACAGAAATATTGGTGGAAATAGTAGATGGGAGGGAAGAAATATACATAATATATCTCAGTTGTAGTAAGGCACTAATTATGAAAATGTTGTGTAGGTTATATTAACAGAAACTGGAGGAAAACTGGGTGAAAGACCTTACTCTACCAGCAGTCATCAATGGTTCACATTCAGACTGGGAGGGTATATATAGTGGGGCCTGATAGTGGTCAGTGCTATGTTCAGTATGACTTCATATGTTCATAAATAGGCTGGATGATATACAGGCAGTCCCCGGGTTACGTACAAGATAGGGACTGTAGGTTTGTTCTTAAGTTGAATCTGTATGTAAGTCGGAACTGGCGTCCAGAT